AGGCCTCTGAAAGCGATCGCAGCTTTCAAGCCGAATCCTCGGTGGCGTTTAATGAAAGCAGCGCTGCGTGTCTGATTTCATTTCCCACCAGACTTCATTATTGCGCAGCGTCACGACACAGTGATGAGTCAGCGTCATTCTGAAACCCTCTGTGAAAATTTAATCAACAGAAGGCAAAAATAAGGAAACTCCATCAGCAGCTTATATTTATAACTAATTCATTTTTTTCCCTGTAAAATAATCCAAACACCCAGACAATCTTTGATAAATGTGAATTGCTGTTATTATTTAGGACTGGGCGTTTGGCAAAATAAGACATTTGAGGATATTACGCAGCGATTTTACATTATATTTGTATTTAAATTCTTCATAACTTGTTTTTCCAGTCTTATAATCAACATGGCCGAGCTGCAGAAGGAACAGAAGGTCGATGAGGTGTGTGCTGCATTCAATGCTTTTGGCACGCTGCTGGTTTAAAGTAACATTTCAGTCGTTTATTATCCAGTTAGCAATTTTATTCACTTATCACATTATACTTTAATGCTGTTTGCTTGTTGCTGCACATGCAAGTAGAAACTCTTGATTTTTCTTTTGCACTTTGTAATAATGTTATGTTTCTGTAAGTTTCAGTAGGACCCTGATGCTCTGGCATGTGATGTCATTTGTTGTGTTTTTGTTTGCTTTGCATTATCTGACATCACAATAGCCAATCAAACTTAATGATGTCAAACAAATAGATTGAACTAGTGAATTTAAGTTGCACTATTTCTTTAATTAAGAATTATTTTTATAACTTTCATCATTTTAAGTAATTCAATAAAAAGTAAATGAGTGATGATATTTGCTGTAATTACAATTTTGCTCTTCCTGAAATATAAAGAAGAACCTAGTTTGTCTTCTTACAAACTGAATATATTATAAAAAAAAATGTTTTTGATGAATATTAATAAAGAAAAGACAAAAACCTGGATTTTATCTTTATTTTTTCGTCTGCTTCATTTGTTCTAGTTTGAGAATTAACAACAACTTTTCTTCACTTCAGTGGTTTCCATTGGAAGAAGTGGCTACAGGGAAGTTACACCTCAAACTGGAGTGGCTGTCTCTGTTGTCCACTCCTGAAAGGCTGGACCAGGTACAGTCGCCAGAGGGAGCTTAAATCCAGCACTCCATTTACATTTTTAAACTCGCTATGTGCGATGTTGTCTTGCTTTGTTGGAACTTTAACTCTGCTTGAGCCTATCTTTGCGTTTTTCCTCCCAGGTGCTGTCGGGCATCAGAGCAGATCGCAATCAAGCCAGTGACGGCCTCTCGTCTGCGGTGCTCATTGTCTTCCTGGATTCGGCCAGGAACCTTCCGGTGAGTCGACCCGACTCGTGAACGGCAGCAGCGTTAATTTACACAAACAGAAATTAAATCCTAAATGTATAGAGCTGAAAGACGAGGATGATTATGTTGATATAGCTGCTCTGTTCATTGATCTAAGTGTGTTAAAGCTCAATGAACCAGTGTTTGCTGAGCTCTTAGTTCTTCACTGGGATTTAGTTTTTTCTGCAGTCTCTGAGATCAGTTTTATGTTTAATTTTGCCTGTATCACTTCGGCCTCTTGCTTTTCTGCTTTCTGAACTTTCTTTCTTGTTCTTCTCTCTGTAGTAATATCTGTTGTAATAACCTTAAGCTTTTCTTATTTTTGCAAGCATACAAGTAAAAATCAAGCTCTGAAAAGTTCATGTAAAAAGCTGAAGATTGAAAATTGCTTTGGAAGAGAAAAATTGTCTTTAAGTCAGAAGAGCAGAAGTGCTGCTCAGTACTGACTTCATCTCCAAAGCTCAGCAAAGAGTTTGAGGTGAATGGTTTATAATATGCGGTCTTTACTGAAGATCTCCATTAAAAAAATAAATTAAACTACATTTTATATTCTAAACATATTCAGCATATTTCTTTAATGTGGTAGTTTTACTTTGTCGTCCTACACTGTCATGTTCCAAGCAGCCAGGAACACACAGGCACAAATGTAATCTTCAAAAAAAAAGGGTTTTATTATACCCCCAAAAAGGACAAGATGATTACAAAAATTCAAAATAACAAAAATAAAGTTTTTAAGAACCGAGTGGGTCCATAAAATAGGTTAACTTAACAGAACGCTACTCAAAAGTCACTTAACAAAAACATAACTCAACAAACTGACCTGCCCAAATGAGAAACAGCTCCAGTTATATAGCAAATGAATAAACCATTATATACACCAAAGGTGAAAACTAAAGAGATACCAGCTAACCATCATTCAAGAAGAACCCCATTTCCCCTGCATGATCACAATAGATGGTCCAGTCCACTTTATTGGCTTCTGCATTTAAACCAGCTCCACCCTCAGCCTCCTCTTTCAGCCAAACCAGGAAGGAGTGGAGCGGAGGTCAGGTAACTCAGAAAGAGCAGAAATATAATCAATATAACATATACCTATATAAAATAACAAACAATGCAAAACAAAGTCTATGCCACCATTTGGGCTTTAGCTTAGTGCTGTCATGCATTACAGGTAAACTCAAAATATCAAATTAGTTAACTTATGATCACAGAAGCTTTAGAGCATAACGTAAACATAAGACAAAAGACCAAATGAATATTACCTAAGTATCTCAATTGTGTGGTTGCATGCGGAAACATACATGAACTCACTCGCTGTTTGTGACAGGTGGTAAAAAGCTAACTCTGTTAAGAGCTGTTAATTTCTGATTTCTGTAGCACAGACCTGACCTTCCTCTTTTCAGCCTCCTCTTCTCTGCTTTTCCTCTTGCTTCCTCACCTCCTCTTCCCTCTGAAGAGTGTCTTCGAGGGGAACTTGGGCTCTGGCTACTTAAAAGAGAGGCGCGCGGCGGGCCTCGTGTTTTGCGAGAACACGGCTTCTCTCTATCGGAGCTTATTTGTGAGTCCGCTGGCAGTTTTCTGCATCCTGCAGTGTGAGAATGGCATGATTAGAGAGCTTCCTTGTTTGTTTGCCTGATGAGCATGGATCCCTACGTGTGCTTGGGTTAGATTCCCTAATATAATTATTGTTTGTTAAATTGTTGTTGATTGATTGACTGATTCCAAAGCTGAGGAACATGAGAAAAAGGTTTGGCTGGAAGATGATCAAAACCACAATGATGGTTTACATTTAAGGCCTGTCAAAAGCATCCTTCCTCCACCATTATTGTGTATTACAAGATATTATTGGTCTTGCAGAATGAGTAGACTCATGGTACATTGTTTCTACTAATCAGGTTTCATGTTCTCTTCACCGCAGCTAATTCAGTGTCTCAACGGCTCATTTCCTCCTAAGAAGTAAGCCATGTTGATGTTTTTCTGTTTGGCTGCCGACACAGATTCCATTTTATCAGAGCAATTGAGTTTTACTGTAAACGGGTAAACAAATCAATACTGCTCTGTGGATACTGTTAAAAGCTATTCAGTCTTACTCTGTGTTCTGCAATGAGACAGCATAAAAAACAGAAAATAGTTTGAACCATTTCGATGTCGTCTTCTCGAACACATCAGACATCAAACGTTTAAGTTAATTTCAGTGCTCACAGACTTGATTTAGTCCAAAAAAAAGGGGCAAAGTTACTGATCTCAGTTGTTTTGAAGTGTGTAAGGAGGAAGGCATGCATTTTGACCATTGTGAGATTTTTAGGTTAGGGAGGGTGAATTCTCTGTGGATTGCTTCCCTCCATCCTTCCTGTTTAAGCCCATTGTGTGTTCAGGTTTTCCCCTTCCCATGTGCCCACTCACTTCAACTCTGACACCACAAAAACCTGAAGCCAGTGTGATTATTTTTAAAGTAATGCACAGACTGTGTAATGGTGAATGCTAAGATGGCATTTAATTTATAGTAGACATACATGTCTCTTTTCAAGGAATGATAATGTGAAATGTGAGAAGCTTCTTTTCATATGTTCCTGCTGAATTCAATCTTTTCTCAATACAATGTGTAGGTGTAGCTGTAGACGATTTTTATTTTGGGTCAGTCCGTTTGGTGAGGCCTGAGTGTTTTGGGGAGTGTTTTGGGAAGATGGCGCACTCAGAGTAGCCTTTAGCTGAATCATCTCATTCATGTAACTATTGACTTGACCTCAAGGGTTTGCCTCAGGGGCCTCCTGTTAGAATTCGTGAGGCGTCTTTTATTGAATTTTTATAGATAGTAATGGACCTCATTGGAAGAAATGGTTAATTATAGAATGAGGTATAAAAGATCTGAGAGGATAAACTTCAATGATCATAGGTTATCTGTCCTTGATATCAAGTATCTAACTGTTATTGCATACAAACAAAACTCAACAATAACCAGGTTTTATAAGAGTGACCAGTAAGGTATCAGCATGTGTATGTCTGTTAGTTTAAATGCCAGATAAGCTCACACCCCTCGATGGTCAACAAATCTGTGAGTTCCTTAAAAGTCTTACTTCTCATCTCATCACGAGTCCACGATGTAAAAACAAGTTAGAGGTTTTCAGCCCATTTTCTGTGCTCGATCAATGACACGATGAGGTTTTCTATAGTTACATCAAAGCCATTTTATTCCTACTGAACCTTCATATTTCTAACCCAAGCTCATCCCAGGGCGTAATATATTTATTCTGTCCATGGTTGGGCTGTTAAAGTCTCTCACTAATTCCCAAAACCCGACGCATGGAGGCCCACCCTGAGCGTAAACGAGCCATCAACATGATGTTCGATGACGGCCTTACAGTAGCATGTACAGCCACCCTTCCTTTTCCCCAACAATGCTTCTTCTGTCTAAATGAATTGGTTTCTGTCTTTGATGTAGTTGAAAGTTGAATAACAAGGATGCTACATTCTGTTTTGTTGCCATTTCACTCCATTCTGTTCTTGCTCAACACTGAAACACTTTTCATTGGGTTTGCTGTCCATGGTCTTAATATCATTGTTTTCGTTCCATTTAGAAATCTTTATATTTGTTCCCCAATCATTACTATATCATAAATCATCTGACTTTCATTTTTCTCTGACACCCATGTATTTTCTTATCCATTGTATCCACTGACTCTGATCTAATGCTGTGTTATTTTCACTAGAGTCCAATCAATGTGTTTTGGCTGATATTTTTGCATAATAAATGAGTTGTAGATCTAAAGATCTTTTAGAATCCTCAATATTTAATTAAGACAGAAAAAGACGTGAGTTTTTAATATCCAAACTATTTAATAGTGTTTAAAAGTAATGTTATATCAACGCGGTTAATAAAAAGTTAAATGTTTTCATTCATCGGTGTATGTCAGCCTGAATTTGCTGTTGGTTAAGCTCTAGTTTTAACCTCATGTCACGGTTTAATTGGGGAATAACACTAACCATGTGATCATCCATGTTGTCTCTCTGTCTTTGTCACTGTGCTGCATCCCGATACATCTGGTGATGCCGATGGTGTTGATGTGCTGACACCAATCCTTCCTCCACCTCCTCCCGGCATGCTCCTCTTTTCCCAAATAACCTGGTGGTGTGTGTCTGTGTGTGCTGTTGTTTGCTCTCTCCTTCCTTGTCCCTGTGGGAAAATCAAAGCGCAATCCGTTAGAGTTCAACCAAGCGGGGCTGAGGAAGGGCTCGGTCAGTAAGGCCATCAAGGTAATGCCACGGCAACCAAGCACACCCATCCCGATCAGACACTGAGGCGAAATGATATAAAGGAAATACAGTAACGTTTATGCACAATGTGACCAAAAGTATGTGGACTCCAATGTTTTGTTTGAGAAAAGTGTCTTAATTGTTGTGAAATAAACAAAAGAGCTTGTGGATGTTGGAGTGTCTGTTTTGGAAAGTTACAGATATGGTTTCTCCGACTGTAGATGTTGATAAATTCGATGTCAGACATCGATTTGGAGGATTTCTAAACAATTTTTTTTATGTATGTAGCTTTAAGGTTGAGGGCAATGTTATGCTGAATAAGTGGAAAAAATGAATGCTGCCATTAAGTTAAAGAGCGCTGTCTAAAATATCAAATGCTTAAGGCTCACGTTCGTCAAAATAGCATCGTTATATTACCTATGGTCATTTTTATTTGGTGTGTGGCTCTGTTCTGTAACCTCTGGGCATTTCTGCCCCTACATTTGGCAACCATAAAGTCAGGGACATGAGTAGCAAGATCCCCTCACCCACAACAGTTTGACATTGAGATGTAAGAAATGGTGAAGCTGGAGATGAGGTGGGTTACAGAGTGGCTTGCAGAAGCAGCATAATGACATTTCACCGTGAGAGAATTGCAAACCAGCTGAGCCATAAGCTGATGCAAGCTGGCACGTAGGTTTACTTTTATTTAAATCACGCAATATCACAACAGTTGCTTCAAGGCACTTTGTATTAGGAGATAAAACCTCAGTAATCAGATGAACAACCACTTGGTGGCACCGGGAAGGAAAAACTCCCTTTTAACAGGAAGAGACCTGAGCACAGGGAGATGGGGCAAAGCTGCTCTACTGGGATTTCTGCTGAAACTCTGAAGATAAAGGGTGTCCACATACTTTTGGCCATGTAGTATATGAAGCAGTTTAAGCACATTCAGGGAAAAAAGTCTAAAACTGATCTGAGTAATCTGAATTTGTTTCTCAGTTTCCCGTTGCTACAAGTTTTGCTACTGATAGTTATTTTGTAGTTCTTCTAAAAGTCAGAAGTCACAGCTGATTTGTGGCGATACCCTTTACCAATTCTGTGGATACTATTACTGATTTAGACACTCAAGACAACTTTTAGGGAAAGTTGTGGCAACCTTAAACAGTCAAGGAGTTTATTTGAAATGGTCAACCAAGCTCCAAGAATTG